CAGGGCTTGAGATCAGTACTTCCTAAACAGCAGAGTTCAGAAATCTTCTGGACACAACCCTCCAAGGTTTGGGCTGCTAGCCTCATTCTTTGCAAGATATAGACTCACAGTCCGTTTTTGGCAAGTTTTAAGAGTTTGTACAGTAAGATGGGAATACGAACAGTCCTTGCCTGTTCCTTCTCTAGGTAGCTTCTACTGCTGCTGATTTTGCTGGTTCTTGCTAGAAATCTGGGGCGTCTAGTGTGGCCCCTCGGAGTGCTCATCACTTGTGATGGGGAGCATTGCATGGTGTTTGTTCCTTGTTGCCCACACCTGCCCAAGCTAAGTTCAGGGAGCACTTTGTAAAGAATCACACTCAGCCATATAACCAAGAAAGACAGACTGATTGAGAGTCTATACCAAGTTTCATACTGGTAAGCAGTGTGAGCTGGTCAAAACTGGGCTGGGAGCAGGATGTCTCTTGTGATTGTTGGAGTTCAGAGCAGGAAATGACTGCCTCTTGTTAGCCATGGTTACTGGCCATGCCTTGGCTGATTGGCATTTTGGATCCCTTTAATCTTTGTGAATAAGCTACAGGTGCTTCTGCCTAGGAAGTGGGAGACCCTTGAGAAAGGCAGGGCCCGGGCAGAGTAACTGCGACAGTTCACACCATCACCCAACACGTTTGTAGTTCATGCAATAACATTTTGATTTCTTGTGAACTTGAAGGTGAACTCTCCTAGAACCTCAAAGCATATGATATTATGGGCTTGACCCATCTCTCCTGATTTCCCATTCCCCAAACATAAACTTGTACTGAGGATTTTGAAAAGGCCGGTTGAGGAAAAGTATGCTTGCTTGTGGCAATCTCTGGCTCCACTGTTAGATGTGCCAACAGCTGACTTCACCTCTATAAACTGCAGTGTGAATAAAATGGTGCCCCCACAAAGGAGGACTGGACCAGTGCCTCGAATGCGTTAACATAGTGCCTGCTCCACGAAAGGCTGCCGCTTACTGCTGGGCTCTAAGGAAAGGCCCCGAGAACAACTTTGGCAGCGGCTGTGAGCTGAAGTAAATGACAGGACATGCGTCACAAAATTGCTTTCTCTTCTTACTTGGGAATTTTTCCCGAGTTCTCCTTCCCAGATTTATTTCTCGGATGTCTTTTTTTTTGGTGTGTGTGAAATTTCTTTCATAGAACTTGAGTTCAGGAACAAGCGCCCAGTAATCAGCTGTGATCTTAAAACCAAAGAGTGGCATAGTCCATCATTACGTGTATCGAGTGAGAATAAAATGACAGGTGTTGCAGCAACAGCTGCTCTCTTTCCCCTTCCCCCTGTGGGGAGAGGTGGTGGCCTTCGCCCAGCCAGGCCCGTGTGCTGGTGGAGAAGACGTGTTGAGCAGGAAGGTTCTGGGGGTGGAGCTGCTGTCTTCGGGGTGTTCTTTCTTACTGCTGTGACCAACATCGCTGTTGCTGTCGTGTTTAACAGTTTTTCAGACTTAGTCATGAGACCCAGACATTCCTCATTTCTGGGCTAGGTTAAGGGTGTGGAGGTTCTAATCGTCATGTTCTCCCACCAAAGAGCAGGGGCCTGTGTGCGCGTCACAGCTGGAGCCTCATGCCTGTGTGCCCTGGGTCTGAGCAGGACGTTTGTTCCCTTTTATGGAGAGCACGGGAAATCCGGAGGCGCCAAGTCTGAGCTCATTTCTGGGGACCCGAGTCCTTTGAGATACTTGCAACGTCAGCCCAGGGCCGCGTGAAGAAAGGAGGTCATTGAGGAGGCCTGGGCCAAGGCAGGCCAGTTGGTGGGTGTTTTGTGCCGTGCAGTTGGGTTTTTAAATGAGAGTGGGTGATGGCTCTTTCTTTTCTTCTGAGACATGCAGAAACAAGGCATCTTTGATTTAACACCTCAGACCCCACACACGTGGAGTCATCTCCCCGTCATCATATTCAACCAAAGCGATTTTCTAAACTTTTGCAATCTACCTTCTTGGCTTGCTTAGACATTAGGCCTGCTCCGCTGGTGGAGGTTTGGTTTGTGGAGGGTGACAGCAGCTGTGCTAGGAGCTTGCACGGCCCAAGCCTAGGTCCCCTTGATAGGAGGAACTACAGACACATCCAAGCTCTGCCCCCTGCCAGCGTGGCCTGCCAGACGCCCGAGGGAATTCCAGCCAAGGCATGGCTGTCTTGCTCTGGACCAGAAGGTGGTTCAATGATCTGAAGTTAAATAAACAGGAAACACAGATTCATGTTCCCCAGACTTTTTCCCACTCATGCTGGGAGACAGCAACAGGCTAATTTAGAATGAAATTACTGTGCTCCCTCACCAGCTTCTTTCCAAGTACCCTTGTCACACAATAGGCAGTTCCCCTTCACAGGCCTTAGGGGAGTGTGGGCTCACCAGCTGGCTGGGTGTGTGCTGCCTTGCAGAGATAAGACTTGAATATCTGTGCAGGTTAAGGCCAGCTGGCCTACCTACACTTTGCTCAGCATGGAAAAACTGAACTGTACTTTCTGGCTTTGTTTTTTTTATTTGTGCTCAGAATTGAAATAAAAAAATAAAAATCAAAGTGACTCATAACCCTGCTCTCTGAGGGACTGCTCCTGCTTCCCTGCTCGCTCTCCCAGGATGGCACACGATTCCAGGGAGAGGCGTGAGCCAGACTTGGAGGAGCATAGCTGTGCTTATAACCTTGACAGTAAGCAGGCAGGTGGCAGAAGTCCAGGAGGGAGCCATGGAAGCTCCTTCTCTGAGGACTCTCACAGCTTCTCTGACATGGCATTTAGCCGCCACACCGCCTTCCCTCCAGACCTGCTCAGCCAGCGTCTGTTTCCTGTTACTGTTGTGACCTCTAGTGGCTCTGGACAGCAAAACTTGTGAGCATGGGCCTTGGTCTGTGGAAATAGAGAAACAAGACCCATCTTTCATGTTTGGAGGTTGACCATTTGTGGATCATAATCTTCCACCTTTGTCGCAGCCCTCTCTCAGGACACACCCTGGCTTGTGATTTTGCCATCACAGGTTCCAGTGCATTGCTATGTTGGGCTGAGATTAGCATCAGAGTCTAAGCCATTTCTTGAAATCAATGTATATGCCCTATGTCACATTTGTATACCGTCATCGTTGCTAAAGGTCATGGAGTCTGTGTACTTAGAATGTTTTATTTCATGGGCTTTGGTGAAGTTATTTAAACATCTCCTTTAGATTCTCTCTGGAGAATACCACCCAGTCCACAAGCATTTACTCCATGGCTGTGTGGTTTGTTTCATCATGGACTCTGCTCAACAGTCATTAACTCCTGCTTGGTACCCTATTCCACAATCCCTCACTGGAGGAATACAGCAGTGACCAGAGCAGCCAGGGCCTTGCTCGAGTGATGCTTGTTCAAGTACATTAAGGGGCTTCTAGGTGACTGGTATGGTGCCTGTCCTCGGGTGACTTCGTAGCTGAATGGAGAAGACAAAAGCTTCAGTGAACAGATGTGAGCCAGTCTGTGATGATTGCTTTCACAGAGTTTGAACACGAGATGATGAGGCAGGTTCCCCTCTTCCTCCCCAAGATGTATGTGAAAAGGAGAAACTAGGGGTCATGACTATGAACTGTGTTTTCTAGAAAACAACTGGAAGCATGGCGGATGGTGATGACACGTGAGTGGTGAACTGGATAGTGGTGCCTCAGCCTGGCAATGTTGTGTCAATTTCTGGTCCTAAAAGTAAAAAATGGATGAGAAACAACCTGCAGTTATTCACCCTTACCCAGGAATCGTTCTTCTGTAGAGAGACCAGTTAAGTAGTAGCTAGAGGTGCTGAGTGCTGAGTGTTCTCATCATTGGCTTGGTCCTTCAAAGAGGTCCTACAGGGTTGGGGCCCTGCCATCATCCCTGCTGTAGAGCTGTGGCATTCAGGAGCTCATGACTGTGTACTTTCTCAGATGTGCCTTTGGGGCTCTGTGGCAGTTAAAACCCACCCTTTGATGAACTAGGAACTAGGACTGGACACATCACAGGGATGGAATCATACAAGGCCTAGGGATTCATTTGGTCTGAGCCTACAAAGTCAGTCATAAGTGGCATTCGAACTTCCAGAAACCTGTAGCAGGGTAGTTATTAAGATGATTTTGTCTGGCTTATGGCAATGTTATCAACATCCAAATGTTCCAGTGTGAGGGAGGGATTGTAGATGATGTTAGCAAAAGACCCTGGGGGCCCTCCCAGCCTGCCCTTGCATGAAAGGCCAATGTTGCTTCATCGTCCTGAGAGGTGCTGGAGCACTGGTGGAGACTCCCGAGGTCTGGAGTGCACTCGTTCCATTTCTTCCAGAACGTTGTTGGTGGTGGTGGTGGTTGATGCAGGGGAAGAGCACAGGGGACAGGACTCAATCCCACAGGCTTTCAGGACCCTACCAGGTAAGGTGGATGAGTGAAGCTGGGGAATGCAAGACTGGGATCACCTGGAAAGGACAGACCTGCCTCTCGTTCAAACGTGTTGAGATGTACCGTCATGCTTGCACACATCAACTGTCGGCCACCTTGACTAGAGGCCAGAACACCAGAACAGGGGAGGAAACCAACAAGGCGTGGCGACTGTGGCTGGCACCTGCACACTTTACACAACCTTCCAGGGCCTCAGGTGTCCTCACCTCTGAGGACTGAAGGTCCAGGGCTCCAAGCACCACCGGCTCTGGTAACTCATGTTTCTTCATAGAGCACTCAGCTGGAGCCCACGTCTGTCTGTCTGTCCGTCTGACTGTCTGACGAATGTTTGCCAAGTACCTGGCAGGCCTGTTTGATCCAACTAACGATTTAGACCTGGAGTCGTTGCGATCTTTTTTGGGTTTGTGTGTGATCTCCGAGTGTATTGCTCTCTGCAATAAAATGGCCTACACTTTACCCTCCCTCAGGTAACATGCTCTGTCAGAGGTTGCTATGCTTTTTTGTTCTGTTTTTGCCACTCTGTCTTCTTTCTGAAAGCAGTAATGAGCAGAAGAGCTTAGAAGGGGTGTTCTCTTCATATTGTTTCAGGGAAAATAGAGAAAGTCAGACCTCCTCCATCCCCCACAACCGAAGGCCCCAGCCTGCAGCCTGACTTAGCCCCCGAAGAGGCTGCCGGAAGCCAGCGGCCCAAGAATCTGATGCAGACCCTCATGGAAGACTATGAGACACACAAATGTAAAAGGCGCGAGAGAATGGATGATAGTAGTGTAAGTTTTTCCTGCTTTCCTCTTTCGCTTCTCCGAGAGCATCCGTCTGTCAGTGTGTGGCGTGTGGTTTCCTGGCTCAGGCACCCTTGTGCCCGCGGTCTGCTGGCCGGCTTCACGGGTTCCCAAACCAATGTTCAAATGTCTGGTTATCATGCCTAGAGTTGGGTTTGAGTCTTTCCTTCATTCCCCAAAAATGTTGATGATGCAAGGGACCAGCTGCCAAGTGTCGCTGGCACCCACCAGCAAGGCTGGGGCTTGTGATGTTCAGGGTATACGATGTGCCGAGACAATGTGGGGAAGAACATCTCACATGCTGTAGTCACACTGGGTGCCAGGGAGCCAATTTCTACCACAGCTTTGCCTTCTGCATAGAGATTTCATTTCTTGAGGGAGCCACAAAAATGTTGCACCTGCTAAGCCTCTAGGAGTCAAGCCCACAGCGAGTGCCTGGCGTTCAAGAGTGTGGCTGTGTTTGGGTGTGCTTAGCTTGGCAGTAAAGAGCCCTTCCAAATGAGACTTTAAAAACCAGTGGTCGACCCTGCACCCCTCAGTCCTCCAGAACCTTGCACATGCTGCTCATGTTGGCTCTGGTGAAAGGCCTCTGCCCTGTGGTCTCTTTCTCCTGGAAGAGACGTGGTCCACAAGAGCTGGGGCTCAGCCTCGGGTTTTTATGCTAACCTCCTGGGAGCCTTCTGGTATTGGTTGCTTCAAGTCAATTAAGATGATCGCCTCTGCTGTCCCAGTTACATTAGCTCTGGTTGATTGATGATAGCCATCTACTTGTTTTATTCTGCTGGGCGTAATTATTACCGCCACCCCCTTACACGTTTAAGTGTCCCAGTTTGGATGATAAATGATTCTATCCCCTTAAACTTGAATATTAACAACATTCCTAGTAGGAATTGCATGGAACATTGCTGCCTTTCCTGGGGTTTGAGCCAGTCACTGAAAGTTGCTTTCTAAGTGTGTAGTGTGGTGAAGAAAGAACAAACATACAGAGCGCACAGCACATAGCATGCCCGTAAGCTGTACAGAGCACTTGCTCAATTGTCCTGTGAGGCTGAACAGGTTCTGTCTGCCCTGTCCTACACTTGGCTGCAGTGGCTGCTAGGGACATTTCCAATGTGGAGGAGTCTGCAGCCCCTTTCCTGATCCTACAGGACTGTTCTTGTCCCCAGAGGCCCTTGCACCAGCCCTCCTTGCAGCCCCAGTTCAGGTATGCATTTCACAATCGGGTATGTTCTGGTAGCCCGTGACTATTTCGAAGGCGCATGCTGAGTGTCTTGGCTCTCTCCTCCTAGGGGTTCCATACCGTTCAGCAGCAGCTTGGGCAGACACAGCCAGCTGGTTCCCTCCCATTCCGAGCAAGAACTGCTTAGTAGTGACTGTGTATCTGTGTGTCTCCTGTGTGTGGCTTTTGTGTTGGTGTGCCAAAGGCAGAGGAACATGCTCCATGCAAAAGGCAAGAGCCAGCTGTCTCATGGTTCATGGGCAGAGGGCTGGAAGCCTCTTTCCTTAGTATGCATTCGGACATGGAGCAGCTGCCTGGTGGATGAATGCCAGCCTGGTTGAGTTTTCCCTTTGGATTCAGGGAACTGCTTGGAGTAAACATTATAACTGCTGTTTGCCTTTGTTTATGCAGTCTGGGGGGCAGCCTCTTGTCTCTGATTTTTTTTCCCTGGGTGAAATATTTTGGAGCAAGAAGCCTGCTAACTAATAAGGCTGTTTTTATCACTGGTTTTTGGATTTAAAGCCAAGTATTTTGCATTATTGACGAACACTGCAATAAAACAAAGCCTGTCATTGTTGAAAGTTTTTAGGAACAGGACTAAAAGTATATCCAAAATCTTGTTGTAGAGCCCTAAGTCTTAACAAAAAGCAAAAACAACACAAAACAAAAAACCAGCTCGGGTTGCTTCTAAGGCAAATATGCCAGTCTGATCATCAGTCAGACTTAATCTCAGAGCCATCTGCTAACTCATGTACCCGCCCTTCTAGTTCAGGGGGATCTTTTTCAATTGATGTGTGTCCGTTACTGTAGAAATAAGCAAATCTTCGTTTTTTCCCAAACTGGTATGTGGCCCACTCTCCATCTCTCTGTCATCTCTGGTACCAGGCAGATGGAGAGCTTGGTGGTTACTTTTTGTAACATACTTCCCTGTTCCTAGAAGATAAAGGCGATTCTATCAAATATAAGACAGTTCTGTTTTCCTGCCTCCATTCTCCTACAGGGGTACCGCAAAAGGCTCCTAGAAAATGGATTTCAAAGATTATTTTGATCAAGAATTGTTTTTGATACCCACATACGGTTTTTCTGTGATATGGACTTTTCATGGATTTTGTGGGGCTCCCTCGTATGCTAACCTTAGTTTTCTGCCCTCTAAGTATCCACCCCCAGTGTCTGACAGCAGCACACTGGCTCACCACTTGCACATGTTCCTTCCAGTGAGTGACTTGGCAGCGTCTGTCACTTCTGGAGATTGCAAAGAATGCCTGTGTGCTAGAATCCCTCCCTCAGGACCGGCGCTCCCCCACATGTTTGCCCATAGAAAGCATCTTGTCTGTTGTGAATTCAAGGAAGTGAATTCTGATCCAGTGCACTTTCTGAGGAGTAGGCATACTTGTAAGGATGAAAAAGGCTGATGATTGCCACGCGTCTTTGGAGTGCTACATTAGGCCCAAGAATGCTCATGTGCAAGCAGGGCAGAAGAAACATGAAAAGCTCAGTAAGGTCCCTACCAGAGCCCCCGTGCAGTGATGCTGTCTAAAGGCCCAGCCACAGCTCAAGGCCCAGGCGCCAGGAAGCACGTTATAAAAAGACTTGATTCTTCAGCCCATTAGGAGTTGTATTGACTGTGTTGAGGTGAATATTGTTTCTCTGGCTAGTTGTTTCCCCAGCCTGACTTCAACCTCACAAGGCAAAGACAATGGGGTTCAGTGTCATTCTTGAACATGTTGGTGGATTTGCCCTCTCTTTTTTGACTGAATAGGTGCTGGCCAGAGGCTACCTCACAGCCTCCTGGGTGCTCAGCCTCACCTTCTTCTAGCATAGATCTACCTTAATAGATTCCACCCATTGCTTTTAGATCTTACCCAAGGCTGCATGACTGCAGGATCTTGCATGCACCCATGCAAGAGAAAGCCTCTTAAATTGTCCTGGGCTATGTCAAAACTGGAGTCTGGGGGTTGCTGCTTTCCTCCGAGAGCTCCTGTCATAGAATTCCCTCCAGACTGGGGCACACACTGAAAGTCATGACCGTGATCTCACCAGAGCAGGGACCATGATTAACCATGCCCTGAGCTGCCCAGATCTCTCTTAGATTCTGACACCCTAACTGGGGAAGGTACTAAGAAAATTCCAGACTCTCCAGCTCATAGCCACTAACTAATCCAGTCGTTACAGGACTATACATGAGAAGCGATTGATGATCACAGATGCGTGTGACTATAACTCCACCAAACACTGGTTCCGGTGCCCGGAGCCACTCAGCACCTCATATCTGCTAACCAGAAATTGCTCAAGGTTATCACCGTCCCAAAGAGGACTGCCCCAGCTGGGGGTTGCTTTCTCGTTTCAAGTAGTAGGGCCATGTGGGGTGTTTTTTTTGGAGGTGTGTGTTACCCTTGTGCTTTTAATGCAGAACACTTTGGATCTTCTATGAAAAGTAAAGGCTCATTTTAAGTCCTGGATGCTCATACTAACCTGAAATTATGACCAGGAAAGCATTAGCATCCTCCAGGTTCCCAAGGTTGCGATGAGGGAGGCTCTATCTACAGTCTCCTTAGATCAGTGACAGTGGGCCTGCCCTCCACAAGCCTTGCATTCACGCTAACTCTGGTCTATGCCTAGGATTTTTGCTTAAGATTATGAGACAGCTCTGAGATTCAGAGAAGTGTTCAAGAAAAGAAAAGGCCATTTGGCTGGTGAGTCTAGCAGAGCCAAGATGACCGTGAGGGGTGTCACTGATGAGCAAGCAGCTGATTGCATAGCAGGGGGAAAAGAATCTTGTTGATTCAAAGCATAGAATTAAGAAAGCATGTCTTCCCTGATATTTCTGTTCATGAATAGTAGGGTTTCTATTTGCTGCAGAAGATGCAGACTTTCAATAAGCCACAGCCAGGTGAAGCAAATCTTGGTGTGGGTGTGCAATGGTCTGATGTCGCCTCTCTTCCCACCAGCCCCTGGCATGGTGCCAGGTCCCGGCTGGGGGATGTTCTGTGAGTGTCTCTGCCATGTGCCCCAGGCATGGTGCCAGGTCCCGGCTGGGGGATGTTCTGTGAGTGTCTCTGCCGTGTACTAACCCTGGTCTCTCCCCTCTTTGCCAGTACACCTCTAAGTTACTGTCTTGCAAGGTGACTTCCGAGGTACTTTTCAACTTGTTTGTCTTGGTCTTCATGCATGTTTGATCAAACGCATGCTGGTGTGGTTTGCCATTTCCTGTTGGGTTAAATGAGAATGGCAAGAAGAGTGGCTTGTCTGTGTCCTTCCTTCTGCCTTTTTTTGAATCAGGGGACTGCTTCAAATGTTAGTGTCCATGCTCCTGCAGTGAGAAACACTGCTGTGTCATGTTGTGCTGTGGGGTAGGCTTCTTCATGTCCATAGATCTGAAAGACCTTTGGACTAGGGACCCAGCTCATGGGCTGGCGACAATTGCTAAAGTTTCTTTAACTATTGATAGCAGTCGAATCTGTGACTCTGACCACATTGGCCTTTTGTTACACAAACATAAACCAGCTACCGCCCATGAATCTAGGCGGCAGGCCTAATTGTGAGCATTCCTGACCCCGCTCCCTCTAGTCTTGAAACCTGCATTTTCATTTTGGAAGTTCCTATAAGCCTTGATCTCCCCCAAAGTTCCCTTCTTTCTTCCACAGTTTCCTTTTCACATATACAAATGCTATGAGAAAGCACAGCATTCTTCTTTTAAAAAATCCTTTTTTGTGTGTGTCTTTTCCTTGATTTGTTATTTTTGCTGTGGAAAAACATACTATATTCCTATTTTTATCTGTATAATATTTTGCCTTTATTTTAAGATAATCATTTCAAGTAAACACAGTTATAGGGAGAATCATTTGTTTCTTCACTCAGCAATCATTATTGTCTACTATGTGTCAGTTGCTATTCTAGATTCCAAAAACACAAATCAACAAAACAAGGTACCTGAAATCACAGAACTGGCATTTGTTAAGTTTCCAATAATAGAACATAAGAAGATGATAAAACCTGCCTATCCAGCTTTGTCCATTCTTATTATTTGAAAATATTTGTTGACAGTTTTAAAAAGAAGCTGGTACGGCAAACACAACCCAGCCCCCCTTGGGAACTTCGTGCGTTCCCATCTCTGTGTCTGTTGCACTCTGGTTTGCTCTGAAGAGTTCTCTACTCTTGACCTTGGCGTTCGTTTCCATGCATGTGTTTATACTACGTATGTGATGTATACATAGGTAGCATCTCATTTCTGCATGTTTTGGAACGCTCTGTGTACGGTCACTCACGTTGTACTTGTTCACCGTGCCTCCCTTTATTGCGTCTGCTCTGTTTATGTGTGGCTCGAGTTCTTCTTCAGAACTGCATAGTGTTCCCGTTGAATAAATAGAGCACTATTTATTCAATCTCCTACTGATGAAAATGTAGGTGGTTTCTAGTCTTTTCTTTTTCATCCTCACAAAACAAGCACTTCCGTGAATGTTGTTATTCATGTTTCTTTGCGTATCTGTGGAAGGATTTCTCTACCCAGAGGTGCCGGATATGGAGGTTAAACATTGTCCCTTTCATTAGATATTGCAAATTATGGCTTTACTGGTTACACCAACCTACAACATAATGTATTAGGAACTGCACCATTTAGCAAAATAATTATGTTCATTTATACATCTGAGCTGTTTTATCAACCTTTTTTGGTGAGGTATAAAAATGGATATTGAGAATATCACTCTTAGGCTTTCCTCATTGTTAGATTATGTTTGTCATCTGTGAGAGCAGCAGCCTGAGGGTTCTCTCTAAGCCCGGATCACCTCTGGAGTCAGTGTAGTTTAGAACAATAAGAATAAGTTGGATATATCCAAGGAAGATAGAATTCAGACTGGTCTATGTCCAACTGGAGAGAAGAGAGGAAGATAAAATATAAGTATCAATATAAAAAATGTAATTTATTCACATCTGTTTTTTGTTTCACTTCCCTAAAGGTAAAATGGCTTGTGTTGATCGCTATGGAACGTTAAAACAATTTGCTTGAATACCTAAGCATTAATGGGGAAAAAAATAGTGTGAAGTTTCCCAAGAGATTTGAAATGCTCCCCCATTAGACCTGAATTGAATTGAATTTGTGAAAACCATAAAGCCTTACATCAGGTCTTGTCACTTTTATGCTCCCTTGGTTTAATTTCTTTGGAGAGTGTTTGTGGTTGCTTTCTGATGTGTCTCCCTGTAGACACTGAGCAGAGGTATAGCTTAGTGACCAAGAACATCCACTCTGCACCCAAACACTGGGTTCGGACCTTGGCTCTTCGCCTGCTGTTGGGTAACAGTAGACAAGTGCTTGGCCACACTCTGCTTTGGTTTTTTTCATACAGAAGAGGAACCTGGTTAGTTTGCATCTCATCAAGTAATGCCGGGAACTAGAGCAGTGACTAGTACAGAGATGGGCATTTAGCCTAACAATCAGGAGGCCACATCCCTCATGGCAGTGCCCAAGTCCACTTCCTACTCCTGCTTCCCCTCCCCAATGCAGACCCTGGAGGATAACAGGGATGACTCGGTAAACGGCTCCAAAACCACACTGCACTAAATGTCTCCATAGTGATAAACATTCCTACTTTTCTGGAGGAGGAGCCTTACACTTAAGCTCCCTGAAGAAAGGGTCTGCTTCATCCCAGCCCCACATGAAGCACTGTGACTGACACTTGGTAGGCACCTGGGCAATACTTGAAAGGTAGATAGATAGGTGGGTTGTCACGTGAATTCCTGAAGAATCAAACAAGTAAAGTTGCCAAAGTTGACTGAGAATTAAAAACAGTGCTTCAGTGAAGAAACAACATTCCAAAAGGACCATTATTTCCACAACCTTAAGTTTATTTTTAGCTTTTCTGTTAGCCTTTCAATTGATATCTGAACGGTGAATAGATGATCACTTAGCCTGTACAGTTTCTTACAGAAACTTACTTGGATAAGTTGTTACTGTTTTTGGTGTAGTGATCCCATGCTGGAATACCTGGATGTGAGTCCTAGTGCTGGCTCCTGTCCGCATCCTTCTGCCAGTGAAGACCCTGGGAGGCAGTGCGATGCCTTGATGCCTCCGGTACCTGATTTCTTGCCACTGACTTGGGAGATCTGGAATGTCGGAGGCCAGCAATTGCAGGATATGGGGAAGGAGCCAGCAGAGGAGAGCTATATCTCTCTTCATTTATCTCTTTTTTTTCTTTCAAATAAATGAATTAATAAACTTTCTAAATGCCTTGTGTATGTGTGCCACTTTTAGCTCCAAAATCCCTTTCAAGTGATCATAGAAATAATTACTGTTAGGGACCTTGCTGTGCGCTTGGAATCTGCTGAGTGCTTTACCTGTGTCACCTTGTTGACCCTGAAGCACAGGGCAACTGACTTTTCCAAGGTCACACAGTCACCAGGATTTAAGCCTCAATGTACTTGGGCTTCAGAATTCACGCTGCTTCTAATGAAAAAAAAAAAAAAACAAAAACAAAATCTGTGTGGTAGAGCAGGTATGGTCCCATCTTACAGGTAATAAAATGTGAGATACAAACTAAACAGTAAGGAGCCAAGCTGAAAGAGGGCTCCAGTCTTCCAAGTGCCGACCAGCATTGTCTCTCAGCACCAGAAAAACTCTGAGTATATCCAGATTTCAAAGTATTCTTTCCTTCGACTAATGTGTTGTTTCCAAATGTTAAGCCAACCACATGGCATGCTTGCAAGATACTTTATGATAAGGCTTATGTGCTTCATGGTCCACACAGCAAACATGACTGAACACATCCTGCATGGCAGGTCCACTCCTCTTGCTAGGAGGCAAGGGCTAGCCTTCCGATAGAAAGCGCCTCGCACATCAGGACAGTCCATTTGCTTGGCAGCGGTACGGAGAAGCAGGATGAGTTGGATCCTATACCCAGACCCTGCATGTGCCCGTGTGGGGTGCCACTTCCACCCACAGCCTGCACCTCCTTGATTCTCTGGTGTTACCAATGTCACTATCCTCTGTCTGATTGCTGATATGTAGAGTAAATTCATCACAGCTCAGATAATGAACCAGTGTTGGCACTTTTAGACCTTTCTTCCATCAGAAGCTCCACATCCTAAGCGAATGCAGAGTTTTTGGCTGGCATGCATGGTCTTGCTCTTATGGCAGTATCACGATGTGGAACCATTTCTCCAACGTCAGCCAGCTACCTATATGTCTTTCATCCAGATCTCATCCTGATCAGAGTAAAGCTGGAACAGAAAGCCTGAAGTCTGCCAGGAGCCTGCAGATGATTCTGGTGGGGGAGACGGGGAGGCCCCACCTCCATGGTGGAGATTCTGCTTGTCACTTCAGGTGTTGGTAGCCACAGCCCTGAAATTGCATGAAGTGCTCAGATTGTTCTTTAGTGACCTAAAAGGCTGTTTTTCTCACTTTGTGACAATGTATCCCAAGTCAATTTTGGGGATACTGATATGATCGTAACTTAGCTCCACAAAGTTTGATAGAATGGACCCATGCTGATCCAGTCATTTGGCACAGCTCTCTGTTTATGAAGGGACGAAGACAAAAATTTAACGTGTTGTTCAGTCTAATGGTCCTTAGCCATACGGGACTAATACGACAGTTAAAATCAGATAAGATCCAGCATCTAGCTTCTTAGCCAAACTAGCTGTGTTTCTACAACCCCCCCCATACCCCCTTGTGACTAGTGACTATGAAATTAGACAATGCAGAAGAAAATGTTCCGTCATTGTGTGAAGATCTGTTGGAAAGATCGGTGCATGTAAAAATGCACTTTCTCTGAGTGCTTGATGCAGAGCACAGCAAAGTCCAGGGGAACTTGTAGAACCTTCTGTAAGGTCCAAGCTCTGTGCTGAAGATTTTGGCTTACAGAAACAAATGGATTTTGGTTATGAGGTGAACGATACCCAGAACCTGTCATCCCCCTTCTCCAGTGTCTCCTGCCGCTCGGCCATTGCTTGTGTTCCGCTTTGGATTAGATGCTGTTGAGAGGGAGAGGAGGGAAGAAGCAGACGCTGGGCTGTGTACGTACTTAACATCACGGGCTCCACCTAAGTTTGTTTTCCTCTCTCTTCAGGTCCTTGAGGCCACCAGGGTTAACCGAAGAAAGAGTGCGCTGGCGTTGCGCTGGGAAGCCGGCATCTATGCCAACCAGGAGGAAGAAGACAATGAGTAACTCTCCAGAGTGCTTCTTTGGTACTTGGGATACCAAGAAACCAAGAAAGCAATGAATCAAAGCATTTTAACAGACTGTTGATTAAAGTGCACACCAACTCAGCAATCCTATGTAGACCAGAATCTGCAATATGAAACAATGATGAAAAATAAAGCAAAAAGAAAGTCCACCCATCACACTCTGACGCCCAGGAGTCAAAGGAGAAGGGTTATTTTTGTGACTCAAAAGAATCTACAGTTGATCCAAAGGGACAAAAACATGACAGACAAATCAAGAGCAGGTCAAACCGAGACTGGCCTTGCTGGGCAGTGTGGATGGACAAGGCCCCAGGGGCGCTCAGCGAGGATGGGATCCAGACAGGTGCAGTTTGTGCCGAGTGGGTCTTTCCGAGCACTGGCTCCCTGTCCGTTTCCCGCCACTGGCACTGGTAGCGTCAGGAGTGTTGGGTTAGCTCCATTTTCTCCAGCAGCCATCTAGTCAAGGGTGTTTCTCTCCATATTTGCCCCAAAGAGGCAATTATTCCATTTTGCCTACTTTTAGTTGTTTTTTCATTGGGAACGACTAATGGTTACAATGCATACAATCCATATTTTAAAAGACACTATTTCTTCATCTTGCAAACACAATCTCTTCTACATTAGGAGGTTGAGAAGGCGGGAGAAAGCCAAACCAAATGGATTGTTCTAGCTTTAGAATCTTGTCTGCTTATCATAATGACTGATGTGTAGTTAATGAAAACTCATTTTCACAATTATGTTTCTTCATATGAAAACTATATTTAGTGGACAACGTCTATTTTTACGATGGGATAGGGGATTACATATGTTTAAAATCTACACGTTGAACAGCTGGGTTCAATAATTAAAAGGGCAAACTCTGCCACAGAGAAGTAGTTAAGAAGTAAAAGGGTGTTTATAACTATTTTGTATTATAAAGTGAGCCTTAGAGGTAGTAAGGAGAAAGGATTGTTTTGATTCAATCAGAAAGGAAACATGAGAAAAAGGCAGAAAGGGAGAGAAGAAAGGTGGGGAAACGAGGAAGAAAGAGATACTATTTTTGCTGAGCAACCAGTGTTTTTCAGGATGATGCAGAGAAAACAATATAGGATAGAAATTTTAAGTACAGGCTTGGGATTGGCCACAAATCCTAAAGCTGGTTGTGTGTATGTGTGTGTATGTGTGTGTGTATACACCTTTGTGTGTTTGTGTAAGGTGTGTATGTTTATGAGTTAAGAGTGTGTGCATGTGTGGGTGTGTGTGCATTAAAATTCCGGGGTGACCACGGCCCCTGAGTGTACGGCGGTTTCCTCCAAAGCTACTTGCCAGCTTCAGGAGTGGGCGAGAATTTCTTTTTTATGAAAAGGGATGTAAAGGCACCGATCTGATACAGTGTTTGTAACATTAAATTGACCTAACATGGTATTTGCATGAGTTATAATTGCAGAGTTTTGAGTAGTTTTGTAATTTGACATTTAGGAAAGTATTCTATTTATTCTCATGCTTTATATTCATGCTAGTATACTATACAAAGATGCCAGCGTACTCTTTTTGTCACTTAAAGCAATATGATGAGGGTATTCAATAACTGAATACCCTAAACTTCTGGATGAAAAAATTCGAGTTCTGATGGTGAGAAAAAAAAAAAAAAAACTAACCAGCCTTTTTTTTCTTTAAAATTATTATTTTTAAAAGAGCAATAATTATGTCAGACTTCACTAAGACTCATCTTTGTTTTCATATTGTTATGTTATAAGCCCTAATATTTTATTCTAACAAGTAGAAATTCCACAATTTGTATGTAGATGTTATGCACGTTATCTTTGCTTCCTTTATTAGACTAGTGCTGGCTTATGAGGGCAAGTTTATTCACAGACAAATGTTGGGCACAGAGTGAAAAATGGAACTATCCAGTAACTTGCAAGGAACTTTTAGAACTGCCAAGGAAAGCTGCAGTTTGAAGCCACATTCTGCAGATGGGAGCCAAAATAGCACATGCTCTGTTGGCACCATCTGTGTATGTGGTGCATTCTGAGTAGTCAGCAAATGTGCTGGCCACTAGGGGACACCAAACAGTTAAGACTGGCCTGGGAGATTGGAAAATTCGGTCCTTGCGGATGGTAGGGGCATCCCCAAGAAGGGGGCCTGTCTATGCCAGAAGATCTCCAGCCAGATGTCCCCCAGGTGCTTAGGCAGAGGACCCAGTAATAAGGGAACGCTCCCAAGGCAGATAGATACATGGGTAACAGAGGCAACGGGACGGGGGGGGGGGGGGGGTGTGTGTAGCGACGTTTAGGATGGCTGCACAGCAGGAGAGCTGTATGGGCTGCGTGAAAAATAAAACATGCTTCGTGTCTCCTAGACTTGGGTAGATCTGATGGAGACCACACACGTGGTGCAGACCAACTCCCCCATTTTCACAAGAAGAAACCATCCTCATCTCTTCCTTTTTTCTTTTTTCTTTTTTTTTTTTCTGCTTGGAAGGAAAAAACATACCCTCACAGAACTGACTTTTGGGAAGAGAATTGGCAGCTGAAAGGAAAGCTCAGGAGGCCACAGTTTGTGGAATTGCTTTAGAGGCAGACCCAGTGATCTTTGACCATAGCTGATGGACCCAGAAACACTTACTGCTTGAGGAATAGCAGGATTATAGAGCTGGCACCTTTTGGGGTCATGCTCCCTGTGCAGAAAAGGGAGCGTGCAGTTTCTGCGGACTCCCCCACCCCAAGTCACAAAGCCGTTTTTACTGGGTCCTTTGGGCCCTTACATATCCCACATTCGCCTAGTCCCTTCCCTCCCCACCCCCAGACCTTGCTGTTTCCTGGTTCCCATCATTAATGACCCGATAATCCTATTAAATTGTAAATTGCAGTTCCCTTAGGAGAGCCAGATTTTGTTCTGTGCTCTAAAGTTTTTTACTCATTCAAGGTACATTGGGTCATTGCTTTGTACATAGCAATGTAATGGGCATTGGACATCCATGAGACTCTGGAACATTCTGTTGACGGGACAGACATCGAGAGAAAGAGGCAAGGGAAAAGCTGCCTCTGGCCACCCGGCCTTCTCTCCAAAGAGCTCCCCGCGTGTTCAACTCGGCTGTGGCCAGTGTTGCGATCCCACAGCTGCTCGGGTCCTCACTGACCCGTTGTGCAGTGCCTAGGGCTCTCACTTTTCCCGGAGCTGAGGAGCAACTGCCCCGCCTTGGCCATCCTACTCAGAACCTGTGGAAACATGATGTGTCTGGGTAGGAGGCCGGGCTCTGTTGTACTCGGAGGATGCCATGCAGCTCCCTTGCCTCTAGCCCCATGCATGCTGCCCACCCTGGCAACGACATAGAAGCAGTGTCCAGGTCAGTGTCCACATATATATTACACACAAACACACACACAGAGACGTAATAAGGAACGCTGAAACAGTGTTGACTCTTGTCTCTAAAGACAAACTTTTTTTCCAACTAAAAATGGATTTCATTAAACTATGTATTGAAAAACAATAGCCTAAGTGTTAGAGATGGTGACTCTTAGTTACAGAACCAATTTGCTGAATCTTGAGCATTCAGTGAGCTGCCAATTTGAATTTTTGTGTTGCTCTTTACCCAGATGACTTTTTTTTTTTCCTTGAGGAGGGGAAAAAAAAGCAATACTGTGTTTGGAAATTATACTCTGTATCTGGCTTTCCTGTGTATGTTAGCCACTTCAATGTTATCCCGCTTTGGTTTTATAGTGATTGTGAGGCGTTCGATGCAAGTATACAGTTATTTTCTCATTAAATCCCAACGTGTGCTGCGTTTTTATAAAGGACGGTTGCTCTATGAACTGTAGGGGTGGGGGAGGCCAGCCAGGAGCAGCCAGCCAGTGCCCTCGGCTTCTACTGCTTTGTGCCGTTTAACCTTGACCTCGGCTTCTTCATGCTGGGAATACGCACGGCCATCCCAGGAGAGAACCCTGCCACTGTAGACTTCCGAAGAGCATTCTTCAGGGCTGTTGCCAGCTGCTGTGGCCAGGCCTCGGAAGCCTTAGGAAGCCACCTAGGTGCCTCTTGGTGACAAAGCCTGAGGAAATGAATGGCTCAATAACAGAGCGTTTCAGTGTTTGAAGGAGCTTTCCAAGGTCACAGTTTGGCCAGGAAGCTTCCTCTGCCTCCGGCTGCTCCCTTCCCTGCCCTCCTTCTCCTCCCTCCCCTCCCTCTCCTCCGTGCCCTCCCTGCCCTCCCTGCCTTCCTGCTCTCCCTGCCCTCCCTGCCTTCCTGGGCCTCTGCAGGTCAGGGTCCTGCTCTTTCTCACCTGCTCTTTTCCTGGCACTTAATTTCCAGCTGCCTCTATTTCTCGTCTCACTGGTGAATCTTGTCATGTTGTCCCTTCACCCTCAATCTCCACCTGGATCTTTCTGCTCTGAGCATTTGAGGGTTCCCAGGACCCCCCCCCCCCCGCTCCCCGTGACATCTTCCTCTGTGTTCTGAATCTGGGGTTGGGGGAGAAGCTAACAGTCTCCTTGGAAAAAGGGGGCCAGACCTGAGCAGCAGCAGGTAGCATTTATTAAAGGCTGAGAATGCGTTCACTACCTACTGGGATCCCCATCAACGGGTTCTGTTATTACAACAATTTGCAGCTCGTACAGCTTTGATTTCCACTTGGCATGGAAGGAAACAAGCTTCAGGAGGTTGATGTGTTTTGAAAACGGCATGGAATTGCAACCTGGGCATCCTGGCCTCTATCACACTGTTCTCATAGGAACGCCTACGGGCTAGTTCACGTCAGGAGACTGTTGATGCAGGGGAGAGCTGGGTGAGCTGGCGACCTCTCCTCCCACACAGCTTTCAGAAATCACAAAACCACCACTGGGAAAGACGCCCAGGTCTAGGGTTGGGGAGATGTTGGCCACACAGAAGCTCCTCTTTGTGGGCCCCTCCCTCGCAGGAGATGATGAGAGAAGCTGGCCCATGCACCCTCATTGCCAAAAAGGAACCAGGCATGACTGCAAGGAAGATGAAAGTATTCAAAATGAATTGTGATGATAGCTGCACAATTCGAAATTTTCTGTCACTGAAATGTAAACATACTCCTAGACTGGATAAGTTATATATCTAGATATAGATATGTGGTTTTTAAAGATGTATTTATTTTTATTGGAAAGGCAGATTTACAGAAAGGAGAGACAGAACGGTCTCTGATCCGCTGGTTCACTCCCCAAGTGGCCACAACAGCTGGAGCCAGGAACGTCTTCTGCATCTCCCACGTAGGTGTAGGGTCTCAAGGCTTTGGACCGTCCTCGACTGCTTTCTGAGGCCACAAGCAGGGAGCTGGATGGGAAGTGGAACAGCTGGGACATGAACTGGTCGGGAAGTGGAGCAGCTGGGACATGAACTGGTGCCTATATAGGAATCCTGGTGCTTGCAAGGTGAGGATTGAGCAACTGAACCATTGTACCAGGCCCAAGATTTATATTAATCATACCAAAATAAAGCATCAAAGAAAAAAAAACTCACTTGACTGTTTGGGTGTAAAGGCCATGTGGCCTTATGCTTGTAGAAAATGAAAGGGCCAGGACTGGTGTTTTGGCACAGCGGGGTAACTGTGCCTGTTATGGGAGCTCCTAGCACTGAGCCCCGTCTCAGCTTCTCATCCTACTTCCTGCTGTTGGGCCCCCTAAAAGGCAGCATGTGATGAGTTGGATGCTTAAATTTCAGCAATCCATGAGCCCACGAGGGAGACCTAGCTTCTGGCTTGAGTTGGCCCAGCTTTGGCTGTTGTAGGCATTTGGGAGTTGAACCAGCAAATCAAAGATTCTCTGTCGGGCCTGGCACGATAGCCTAGTAGCCAAAGTCCTCTCCTTGCATACGCTGGGATTCTATATGGGGGCCAGTTCTAATCCCAGCAGCTCCATTTTCCATCCAGCTCCCTGCTTGTGACCTGGGAAAGCAGTAGAGGATGGCCCAAAGCCTTGGAACCCTGCATCTGCGTGGGAGAACCGGATGAAGCTCCATGCTCTTGGCTTCGGATTGGCTCAGCTCCAGCTGTTGCGGCCGCTTGGGGAGTGAATCAGTGGATAGAAGATCTCCCTCTCTGTGTCTCCTCCTCTCTGTATATCTGACTTTGCAATAAAAATAAATGTATCTTTTGAAAAAAGATTCTTTGTGTGTGTGTGTGTGTGATTCTGCCTTTCAAACAAACTTTAACATATAGCTATCCAACGGCTCCCTAGTAAGGAAGAAATCTCGTGCCTGCCTTCCCCCCCACCAGGAACCTTTCCATGCATCATGGGCCACTGGCCGCAGCTGGGCGAGTCAGGATACATAGGTCCTGGGTTTGGCCGGCAGGGTGCCACGTCACAGGCTGCAAAAAGCAGGAGAGTGGAGTTGGTGGGATGTGCAGTTCTGGGTTAGACTAGAAGTCACATTTAGCTGGAATAAAGACATAAATCACGTTTCTTCTTTTGGTTCATCTCTATCTCCATCCACAAAACTTTCTGTTTGCAGTGGGGTCTCCAGCCGATTCCATCCACGTCATCCTGGAGAGCACAGCGTCTCGAACCCAGGGGGCTCTGTTCCCCCTTGGAGGGCCTGTGCCCCAGGCGTCTCGCTCGGTGGGCCTGCCATGCAGCCCGGGGCTTTCCTGGCTACTTCCCCAGAGATGCCACTAGTGCATGTAGAGATGTCACTGCAACGAGCACTGGACTACAGTGAAGCCACAAGCAGTTCTGGACATGTTACTGCTGCCGGAACCCTGGGAAATTGGTTGTTCATCAGCTGCAGATAACGGCCACGTGGTTCTGGGGAATTCTGGAGGCAGGGAGGCTTGTGTGTGTTCACCAACATGCCAACTCGCCATGTTGTGGGTCTTGGTGTCGCACACCTGAGCTCCTTGTACGTGCTCCACTGAGGCCCTTCTGACAAGGGCCAGGGTAAGAATGTTGGGAAGAGGATGGTGTGCTGGTATGTCCAGGCAGCCTCAGATAGGATCCAGGATTTCATTCCCTGCCATGCACAAGGGCAGCTGGGCTGAGTTCAAGGCTCCTGGCTTTAGCCTGCCCCAGCTTTGGGCAGCGCCTGAGAAGGGAAGCAGCGAAGAGAGCTGTATCCTGCGGCTCTCTCATTCTCTCCCTTCCAAATAAAAGGGAAACAAAACAAAATCCAGCCTGCCCTATCCCCAACTGTGATGACAGTATCACAGAGAAAGGTGGAAAGAGTGATGATGGAAAATGACAGCGTGAACATAGTAGGGCCTCAGTCTTTTAAAAAAACAAAAACAGTAAGGCCTCTTGGCAGACAGTTCTCCATTTTCTGTCAAAAATTCTCTAGTGGAGATGGGTCCTCCACCTGTAGCACTAGCATCCCATATGAACACCTACCTGCTTTGTGTCTCGGCAGTTCCACCTCCCATCCAGCTTGTTGCCTCTGGCCTGGGAAAGCAGCGGAGGATGGCTCCTATAACCACTTGGACGAGCCAGAGATGGCCTTGGCTCCTGATTTCAGACTGGCTCAGCATTGGCTGTTTTGGCCACTTAGGGAGTGAACCAGTAGATGGATCTCTCTCTTCTGTCTCTCCTGCTCTGTAACTCTGACTTTCAAGTAAAGTAAATAAACCTTTTTCAAAATTCTCCATGCTGGGCTCAGCGTGGTGGCCTAGTGGGTAAAGTCCTCACCTTGAACATGCAGGGATCCCCTATGGGTGCCGATTTATGTCCCAGTGGATCCACTTCCCAACCAACTTCCTGCTTATGGCCTAGGAAAGGATTCAAAAACAGCCCAAAGCCTTGGGATCCTGTACCTATGTGATAGTCTGGGAAGAAGCTTCTGGCTCCTGGCTTCAGATTGGCTCAGCTCCAGCCGTTGCGGCCACTTGGGCAGTGAATCAGCGGCCGGAAGAGCTTCCTCTCTGTCTCTCTGTTTCTCTCTATATCTGACTTTCAAATTAAAAAAAAAAAATTTTTTTTAAATTCTCCATGGTATCTTTTTTTTCTTGTGGAAATAAGTGGAAAAGTCCAGAAAATAGCTACTCAAGAATATTTTTTCAGAAAGTCATACCAGAAAGTTGGAAAGGAATTGAATGGTGGCTCCCTGTTACGGTCTGATCATAAAATGGGATATTATGAACTGGGATGATAGAGATCTCCATTATCTGACAGTGAATATAAATGACTAGTCATTTTAATTTTAGTAAGAAACAATTTACCATCAAATAATGATGGATAATATTTTACATTTATGGTAGCAATAAAAAGTTTGCACATATCTAAGACTTTTAACGGAGTCTAAAAAATTAAGTGCTGTCTGGGGAGTATGTGACTATGGCAGAATTGCAGAAATTGTACAGAAATGGTGCACATGTGTGAAGTTCTAACAGGACTGCCCATCTCCTGCACCCCTCAGCCTGTCAGCTTCAGGTCAGTCTCCTTGGGCAGTTACTTGTCTCTGCTTCAGTTTCCCAATCATTGACATGGGAATAACTGTGCTCACCTTATCAGGAACAATAAGCCCTGGCATCTCCTGTAGGGTGGCTAGTGATAGGGCTGTTGCTACCAAGGTAAGAGATAAAAGGCTAAACAAATGCCATACAACACAGGTAAGATGGCCAGTGACACCTTGCAGGGTAAGAAGGATGAAAAGGCTTGAAGGACAAACTAACATGGAAGGACTTGAAGGGGAAGAACAGGTGGTAGACAGGATCAGAATAAAAGAAGAAATAGCTTGTCAGTCTACAATGGATCATCTGAAAGATTCTCTCTTTTTCTCTCTCTACTGTAACAGAGGTTAAAGGGATGTTAATT